CCTGAAAAAAGTATTATCAGAATCTTTAAAAATTTTCATGCAAACCGAACAATTTATTTTGTTAGGTTTTCACGAATTCTATGTTACTGCTGACCTGGCCTGCTTGCCAAACCTGCCAAACCGGCCAAACCTGTCGTCCTCCCCTAACAAGTTGTCCTGGCTTACAGGTTATGTGGGATGTGAGGGATAGTGCCGAGGGAGTATGTCCGCCAGGAGGGTCCACGCGCCTCAGTTTTTTTACAGGTTATGTGGGATGTGAGGGATAGTACCGAGGGAGTATGTCCACCAGGAGGGTCCACTCGCCAAGTCCACCCAACCTGACGGGGAAGTGAGTTCCCCACTACACAGGAGGCACTAAAGAACTGGCGGTTTGGAAATAGGTACCTGCGCCACAGACTTAGTTTCCTTTTGCGAGGGCCTTGAGATACTTATCGTGGAACCGGTCCCACGTACTTCAAGAATTTCATTCATCTAAGCTCCAACTGGATTCGAACTGATGTCGGTCGGCGAAGCGAGTTGTGGGTGTATCGGCTGAGCCGTCCATTGCTTCCCGATGTCTGTCACTGATGTCTTTTCACTGATGTCTGTCTCAATGATGACACAGATGAGGAGGTAGCGAAAAAAGTAGACAGACTGGGGTTATCCAACATCCTATTTTAGGCAACCCAATATAACGGTGGGACGACACAGTGAAGTAGAGATGGCGAGCTTGGATGTCCCGTCCATCGTGGATTGTACAGTGATCATGAAGTAGAGAAGGTGATCGCGTTGACGGCCACTTGACGCGGAGCGGTAGCGCGCGAAGTGCGAAGGTTTGCAAAGCAGGGCTAGTGTGGAAAAAGGGTAAGTACCGATTGTTCAGGGATCCTTGGGGGAAGAGAGAGAGAGAGAGAGAGAGAGAGAGAGAGAGAGAGAGAGAGAGAGAGAGAGAGCTCCGATGAAATTGTGCGTGGGCAAGTGGTGTGCCGCCGTTGCTGCGGCTACTGTCTTTATGTCAGCGCTATGGTTGGCGGTACGGCCCAAGGGAAAAGCGTGTGGAAAGCGCCGACGCAGTGCAGTAGAGAAGGCGAGCTGGGGTGTCCAGTCCAGTAGAAGAAAGAAGGTGATCGTGGATTGTACGGTGACCATGGAGTAGAGAAGGTGGGTTTCATAGTCCAAGCAGCAAGAGAAGGTGATCGTCGATTGTGCTTTGCCGTAGAGCGCTAGCACGTCAAGGTTGGCAAAGCAGGGCTGGTGGGGAAAAACGTTAAGTACCGGTTCTGTAGGGATCCTTGCGGGTACCCAACAAGGTTGAACGACGTGCTTGGAGTCCTTGGATGGCCCAAGCTGTGGGATTCAGTGCTTCCGAAGAAATAAAGCAAACCAGAGACGTCTCGTAGACGTGAAAATTGCCCGAAATCCAGGTGTGACTCCGGCCAAGAGCATGAGGCGGATAGCTGGGGGCGATTCCTCCTGACATGTTTCATTCCTTCAGTCCAAAGAGCAGCTTCAGCTATGGAGCGACACGGAGAAGTTGGGTTGACCGGAGCTCCGTGCAGTTCGAGAGCTGCCGGGGTGATCTGCAATTGAAAAAATTAGAAATCAGATAATGCGGGCCAGGTACCGAGGCGCGTCTTGGATTGAAAAATGGATAGAAAAAGAGGGCGTACCGGTCGCTGGAATCCTGGAAGTAGTTCGTTCGTTCAGTTTGCTGTGTCAGATAGCGAACTTTTCATCTCTCTCTCTCTCTCTCTCTCTCTCTCTCTCTCTCTCTCTCTCTCTCTCTCTCTCTCTCTCTCTCTCTCTCTGTGTTTGTTTGTGTGGGGGGGGGGGGGGGGGGGGGGGGGGGTAGTGAGTTCCTGGATGCATTTATCAGCAGCTTGTGTTTTCCGTGCTCGTTTTTTCAAGACATATTCTCTTGTCATGTGAATCGTGCTCGCTTGTTTTCTCAACTCATTAGCTGTTGTAGTGTGATAATTGCGGTTTAAGCTATCCTGGCCGTAACCAACAGGTGCTCGTTGTCTTCAACCACTTTGCCCGGTTTGCTTGTTTTAAGTGATTGCTGTCTTCGACTACTTTGCGATTCTTCGGGCTCGTCTTTGAAAAAACTACGAGGCGGGATGTTCGCGGCTGTCGATCAGCGTCTGCTTTCGGTTCGACAAAATCAGATGCAACCCTCGTCGACGTGCCTGAACTTTTCTTTTGCCGGCCACGACAATTCTTTGTTTGTTTGTTTTAGGCTCTCTGCTTCTTTGACCATTCTTTCTGTTGTTTTTTTTTCAGGGTGCTTCTTTCTCCTCTTGTTGCAACGTACGCTAACCGCACGGTCGGCTGCGTGAGGTTCCAGAGTAATCAGGCCTGTCGGGACTCGAAAAGTGTTGTTGAGCTATGTATGATCGATGGCGGACCTTAGCGGAGGAAAGTTGGGTCAACGCTCGCAATGATGATGACGTGGGGAACTTCAAGGAAGTCGGTTCAACGCTGGGAATGATGCTGACGTGCGCAAGGACGTCGGGTCAACGCTTGCAATGATGATGACGTGCGCATCGTTCTTTTGCGTGGATATAGTGCTGGACGGAAGAGTCATGCTAGCACATGGCAGGCTTTTAACAATCGTGCGGGTCCGCCAGTCGGTTTGTACTGAGGCGCAGGAAACGTGAAGGAGGCGAACCGAAGTTACCAAACCCTTCGCGGGCTTGTCGGGTCTGCCATCCACTAGCCATTACTTGTTGCTGTGATAGGTGTGTGGATGTGAGCAAGCATAATGAGGAGCGCAAAGGTCTTGTGCTATGCGTTGAATACTGTCGTTAGATTGAGTTCGACTGAATCTAGCGCCTGCATGTGGCCAGATTGGCCTGAAAATGAATAGCACGCGTCGACGCTGAGCGATGGTTAATGGAAGGACCAAAATTCGGGGTTTTCCGCCGCATCACGACAAGCGATGTCGTCGAAAATTTTGCGAACAAATAACGCAGGCTCATAATACAAACATAAAAAAAAACAAAACTGGCGAAAACAAACGGAAAGCACTTTAAACCCTATTCGGAGTAGCTTTCAGAGTTTACCAAATGCTTCTCAGAATTAGGTGTTTTTGCCAACTTTCTCGATACTGGTCCAAACTGAATACAGATATACCCTAAAGCACATACATATCACACCCAAAAAAAAAAAAAAAAAAAAGGCAAAAATTCAGGGAATTCTGGCAGTTTCAGTGAAAGTTTTGCCGAAAATGACACCATCTATTAACCATGATTGCCTCTCTCTCTCTCTCTCTCTCTCTCTCTCTCTCTCTCTCTCTCTCTCTCTCTCTCTCTCTCTCTGTGTGTGTGTGTTTGTGTGTGTGTGTGTGTG